AGGGACTAACAGACACTATAAGAAATATATGACTAAACCAAGGACTAACAGACACTATAAGAAATATATGACTAAACCAGGGACTAACAGACACTATAAGAAATATATAACTAAACCAGGGACTAACAGACACTATAATATATGACTAAACCAGGGACTAACAGACACTATAAGAAATACATGAAAAGTCAATAGAAGAACAGTCATTTTTGGTGCAATTCTTGCATTTGTTTAATTTATTTACTCATGTCGTTCATTTCCTTCAAACACGAGAACAAGCTATTGAATATTTTAAGAATTTGGTATATTATGAAGACCACAAATCCTCAAAACAGCGCTTTCTTTTTGAAATTTTTTTCGACAAACCCATAGAGAATAGAATATACATTAGAGAGGAATTTAAGGAATCTCTCGGTATGAATTTTTTCAATCCCTTTCAGCCTGAAAGGGAGTTCAAAGTGTACAAATCATGTAAATGTTCACAAATTATATGCAGTAGAGTACATTAATACAGTATGTTCCCTAGACTATTCATTTCAATTTCGATTTTTTTAAGGCTGTTGAATAAACTTTATAATGGATTAGGTGAATTTATCATTTGATCTATAGTTATAACGGAAAATCATCGTTTGTAAAGTGAAAGGCACAGAGTCTATGTGAAATGATCATTGGCCAATTATGAAACCAGCCTATTTCATAATTTGGTTTTCTTTTAACATTATTTTTATATTTTCTATAAAATGATATTCCAGGGCCCAAAAGGTTATATAGCATAAATATGTGAAGTACACCTGCAGTATAGAAACAGTACAACAAAATGGCCGTTTTACACTTTTTTCTAGTAAATTCCCCTCTAATATATATTCTATTCTCTATGGACAAACCCCCCTCCCCCTATTTTCCCTTTTTTTTAAATTTGAAGCAAGTCAAATATACATATTACATATTGCATGTTACTTCTTATGGGTACAAAACATGACATTTAAGGGTACAGAAAACCTAAAAGATTGCATATTATGAACAAAGAGAATATCAAGATTGGCCTAACAGGACTTTGCAGGCTCCCTAGCCTAACATACGTCCTTAGAACCTGGCATAGTCCCTTTAATTCTCAGATATTATCTGAACAATGCACAGTCCCTTTAATTCTCAAATATTATCTAAACAATGCACAGTCCTTTTAATTCTCAGATATTATCTGAACAATGCACAGTCCCTTTAATTTTCAGATATTATCTGAACAATGCACAGTCCCTTTAATTCTCAGATATTATCTGAACAATGCACAGTCCCTTTAATTCTTAATCTCAGATATTATCTGAACAATGCACAGAAACTTTCTATACAGCTCTTTTTCTGGGTCAAAATTATAAACCAATTCTTTATTGTAGTGTCAGTGATATCACCAGGAGAATCAATACGCTGCACAGAACCTTTCTTTACAGCTTTATTTTTGGGTCAATATTATAAACCAGTAAGCATGAGACTCTTATATATCCTAGTTCTACACTGCCTTGTGGTATTTCCAGGGGAATCACTGAATATAACACATAATGAGTCCTTTAAAGGCTTCAAGGTAAGTGGATTTGCGGGGTTCAGCTCTTGTTGAGGGCCAAAAAAACATGGAAACTACAGCTTTTACTGATCTAGAGGGTTGGGCAATCTTTTGTGGGACCTCTATATACCTGAAGGTAAAGGAACATTGATAAGCTTATTTTATTACATTTCAGACCAATGTGAAACGTCTAGGATCAGCTATACCTTCAAAACCTTCTTAAATAACAATTAAAGATATACCAAAAATATTCAATGTAGTGAGAATTGTATCAAATGTATATTTTTACATTTCTTTTGATTGTCAACTTGTTTGCATTATTACAGAATTGATTTCCAATTGATTTTTGAAGAAAATTTATTTTCACAAAAATTAGTTTACCGGCTTTTTCTTCTCACAGAAAATCTTTGAGTTTTGTAAACAAGTCAGAAATTTGTATACTTAAATTATGAACCCTGTAAAGAAAAATACAGTGTCAAGTAGTGTTTTAAGAAATAATTAGGAACCTGGTAGCAATGGACTTTGCATTGTACACCTAGAATACATTAGAATAGCTTGTTTATGCAGACTATAAAGCTGAAAATTGTTAACTCCTTATACATCATGAACTCGTCATATAAAATGTCTCTATTAGATTTTAATTTCATTTTTCCCAATAACGTCATTTTCCACCCTGATAAATGATTTTTTTGTCCCAATTATTTCATATTTTTGGTCCCAATATTTCATTATTTGTCCCAAAATCCAGACACAATTATTTCAAATTCCACTATTCCTTTCTTGTATGTGGTTCTATTTTCCGTCCCAAAAGCCAATTTATTTTTTCAAATTCCAATAGTTTGTTTTTACACAATTTTATTTGTTGTCCCAATAAACATTTTGTCCTTTTAATTTAATTTTATGTCCCAATAATTTCATGTCTTTTGATAAAATTTCATTTTTTCTTTCAAAATTTCATTTTCCATCCCAAACAGCCATTTTAATGCGATCTCATTGGGATTGGGTTTGGAATTATATTGAACCCTGCAAAAAGGTCAATACAGAGCTAAATTTTCCAATTCTGCTGAAACATTCCGGTATGGTGAAAACGTCATGAGCTATCTAGTTTAATTTATCTAGGACTGTACAGTGCAATTCAAATGAATTAAAGGAAAGTCTTCACACCCATCTTTGATAATCTCATTTTTTTAGAGTAACCCTGTATTTTATAATAAGCCTTAAAGGGCGGTTTAATTAGCTATATTTACAATAAAAATTCAACTGTTTTGCTTTAATCTACAAAATTATGTCGTCGGAACAGAGTATAAACCAGCATAAAAATTATTGGTGAATTTTCCAAAGAAAAATGATAAAATATAATTTTAGGGGGACGTTGTCTAACCTGGCCATAAACCACTTGGAATCTGACATGATGTTGGCTCAATTGCTTCAGATATTTAAGGTTCATTGGGAACACCAAATATTGTAACACATAATTAAAATGTAATCTAATTGTCAGGTAAGTCTGGACCCTCCGGATTCAAATATATCAGAAGTTTTCATTCCCGATTATGGACTTCATCAACCATATTATCTATGGGGTGTAACCTTGAGAGGACTATGTTGATAACCTATTGCCTGGCAGAATCTACAAAATTAGGTAAATATAAAGAAATAGTAATCTTAAAGGGGGTGTAAGCATGATTTCAAGTGACCTTACATGCAAAGATAGCAAAGGCGGTACTCTTTAAAGTTTTGTCTTATCAATTATGAATTAGACATCAAAGATTACAATTTTAAAAACTGATAATTTTCAAATGCGGTTCTCTACAAAAGTGACTTGCACAATTTAACTGCAAGAAAGTATTTACATGTTTTCAAAATGTAATACTTTTAAACCTATGAAAGCGACAATATCTTCCACATTGATGATCTGATAACGGTTCCAAGGGTTCCGTTGTAAATCGGGCATTGCCATCTTTGTATGGAGGGTCACTTGAAGTTACGCTTACTTTATTAGTAAATATTATTAATTTCCACGTAAAACTTTCTTGAGTGCAAATTTTTAGTTTAATTTGTGGTAAGGGGGAAAACTGGTGCTTGTATTCTACGAAATGTACATTGTTATATCTCATTTAGTAATTTTAATGTGTAGGGTAGGATGAGGGGGGGGGGGAGAGTGCAGAAGTCCTCAATGAGTAACCACCGCTACCCAAACGTGTTTTGCGGCATTCCCGCTCCTCAATTGGTATCTCCCCCTGCACCTTGCAATTGGTAATCACTGTAAATTCTTGTTTTCTGAGATATTAATTTAATGCATTTTTAACACAATTTTCGACATCTATCGGGGGCAGTAAAGAAAGCTTTAACAATATTATACACCATAAGGCCATTACCAGAGGTCAAAGAAATAAAAGATTTAATGTCTGATTAGTGATTACCAATTGAGGGGGTGGAGATTACCAATTGAGGAGCACCCATGCCGCAAAACATGTTTTGGTGGCAGTGATTACTCATATAGAGGACTTCTGCACTAACCCTCGTCGGGTACAAAGGACGGTCAAACGGCCAACCAGAGTTTCAAGATACCTGAAAAAGTCCATAACTTTTTTCTTATTTTAGCTACCTAACAGACCTAAAGCTTAATTTTGAAAGAGATCTTAATAAATGGATTTAAGCACATGGGCCACATCTTCATCGAATGAAAAGATTAACGAGAAAAGATTAAATCAGAGTAGGATGTAATACAAGGTAAATAGCTCAGAGGGTCGCTAATAAACTACATAAAAAAGAATAAGTATTTAAAGCTAACTGAATATTTGTTTATCGAATTTGTTTATCATCCAAGATGCAGTATACAAATATCATAACAATAACATATGCCATATGGAGTATACTGCGTAAGTGTACTGCATTCCAGAAATCCAACAGGGGGTAATCCATCAGGAAAAGTAAAATATACAATCCTGATTTATCTGTTTCTTGTGAAAAATGTCATTTACATTTCTTTTAAAATTTACCTTGAATTCCAGTATTTTCCATTTTTATTTCTTCTTCCTTTATGTAAACGGTACATGTATCCTCTACAGTAGAGGCTGGAAGGATATTTTCCTGGATCTCTTCTTTAATCTCAATATTCTCCATCTTTATTTCCTTCTTCAAGTTTCTGGCAATTCTCTCTGAAAAAAATCATTTCATGGTATTTACAATAGGGTTAAATTGGCTTAATTGGTGTGTTAATGTTTATATATCACGGGTGTGATAATTAAAAACATCTCTTTTCTTCTTTCATTGGTCTTTCTGTAGTTCCACCAATTATCGAACTTGTTTTTAAAAATGTTCAGACGAGAATATCTCAATCCTTCATGTTTACTTTCAATGTAATTAATTGAGAAAAAGAAAAATACATTGCTCCAGCAAAATAAAATAAAGAAAAATTAAAAGAAAAAATATAGTTTATTTAAAACTGTAAGAACAAAACAAATAAAGTTTATTTAAATTTATCAACAAATATTAATATATTGAGGCACAGAGGACAGAGCCATAGTATAGGGCTACAGCATAAAGCAAATAGTTCAATTGCATTTAGAATCATTTAGAGCATTGCTCCGGCTTAGATTAAAAGGCACTGCAAACACAATTAGTTATAAAGCAAGCTTAGTTCCGGGTAATCTATAGGTCTGGAGATCCGAGAACACATTTAGAAAAATAAACTAGTTAGGCTGCAGGAAACCAAATTCCAGAATCAGACATGTTTGACTCTGGGGTGTGGGGCGAAGCAGTGGGTATTCCTGGTGTGTAGCCATTTGTTACATGCATGAGCGAAATCTTTGCCTGTCTTTGAGTCTTTACAACCAACCGAGGATGAAGGATTCCTGCAGGACTCTGTGTTGTAGTTGAAGCAGATAGGAGTGCCACGGTGAAGAACTACATTAATCTTAGGCTTTGGAGCAGAGTTAGCAGGAGTAAAATTAGACCTTGAAGGTTGAGGGGTAAATTTAGGTCTAGAGAGGCGATCCACTTCATTCCTAATGTTCCTAAAGTTAGAAGGAACAGTGCTGTTGTAACCTGATGAAACCAAGATAGACTTCAAAGCTTCCTCCTGCTCCTCATGGCTCATGATTACGTCCTTTCTGATGGCCCTAGAGGAGTTCTCACGTAGAACCAAGTTGATGAAAGCAGTAATCACGGAAATTCTCTCTGACATGGTAGGAGCTGGGGAAGCAAAATTGTATTTTTTGACAATACGCATGAGGATGAGGCCAGTGGGGTCATAAGGCCAGAGGTGGTGCAGAGCAGTGCAGTAGTTAAGCATACCATCCGAGATTTGAGAGATGCTGGTTGGATTTTCCCAAGCATAATCCAGAGTAGACACAATGCCTTCATCTTCTCTGCACTCAATCTTTTTCACTGGCTTGTTTGCAACGTTGACATTTGAGGACAAGAACATTTTAAACTGGAGACATTTGGTGCGATCATGAAGAGCCTGAATTGTTTTCTGGGTTAGTTTCTTGTTGCCACCACTGAATTTCAAGTCAAGGTTCTTATATTGGTGAGAGCAGATCTTAGGATCTTGATATTGGACAGAGGAAGCCGCAAGAACCGGGCTGGATGGAGCTTCTTGAACCCATTGTCAATAGCATTCTTGAACGAGGTGGACTTAGGTTTGCGGTCAGGTAAGAAGTTAGAGGAGAGGTCACCTTCAATGGCCTTCAGGTTCTGCTTGTCGAATTTAGCCAGACAGAGTAAATTATCCATGCTAATAGCGTTGAAAGATGCTTTATTCTGCAAACCAAGAGGTCTCTTCTCTACGGGCCACATGTTACAAAGGATACTCCTGTTTGAGGACTCATCTTTCTCTGAGCTGGAGGAGCTACCTGAGTTAGTAGAAGTACTTGAAGAACTTGAGCTGTCCGAAGAAACCTGTTTTTTAGATTTTTTCTTGCGTTTAGATTTCTTAGTTGACCTCCCAGGTTTGGCCGTAGTTGAGTTACCAGCATAAGCTTGAAGGAAAGCAATTTGAGAAGGAGTTAACTTGTTAGGGGGAACTTGAGTATCGGAAGAAGTAGTTGGAGGAACAAAGATAGGCTGGTGAGTTGTTGGAATAGCTGCCGGAGCATTGGTAGGTAAAGAGGTAGGTTGAATATTAGTTGGGATTGATGGGCCAGGGCGGTTTGTGGGTAAGTCTGGGACAATAGGAGTGATAGGCAGAGGATGATTAACATCAGGGTCTAATTCCCGTGGAGGGTCTGGCTCTGAGCCCAAATCTGACACCAGGTTATTGAGGATGCGCCTTCTATGGGTCAGGGCATGACCATTGTTTGCACCTACATAATTTTTTAAATTAAAATATAGGAATACTGCGAGCACATAATAGTACATAAGGCTGAATAATATACAGCTATTTGGGTAATAAAAGAATTAAGAATTTATGTGCAAAATAAATAATAAGATTAAAATTTAAAATAGGTGGAAAAGCTGACTCACAAGTAGATATTAAATTCTAAAGCAATTTAAAAAGTGAAAACTAATCAATTCCATAGCTAAATGAACCATAGATAAGTTAGTAAGATAGCTAATAGCTAAAAAGTATAAATGTACCTAGCTCACGTAGGAGAGCAGTAGCTAGGGTGGAAGGGTCAGCAGTGACACTGTCCATGGAGTTGGTGTCAGAGACAGCATTCTGTCCTGTAAAAGTAATAGTCAGTAGGTGTAAAAATAGGTTAACTGTTAGTTAACAATAAGGTACATATACCAAAGTAATCAGGAACATATAATAAAGCAATCAGTGGACGAATTTAAAGAATTTGAGCAGTGGTTTAAATTTAAACCGCGGCTTAAATATGGTTGGTTCCACTTAAAATTGTATCAAATGTTTCAAGATTTAAGCCGGCGCTAAATTTAAACCGAGTTTTGGCAGATTTTGGCGGATTTAAACCACGGCTCAAATTCTTTAAATTCCATCTCAAGTTACATTTAAACACAGATAAAAAGAAGAGTATCATAAAAGGGTTAAAGAGATAATTCGCCGATAGCTTCGGCCATTGCAAGCCTCCTGGTTCTAGGCAGTTTAAGGTAGGTTTGAAATGCGCGGCTAGACCAACGGCCCGCAAGTTTGATGTCTGAATCACTGAAACCAAGACTTCCTAGGATGGAAGGTATACCAGCTCTTAAAGAGTGACTGGAGAAATGGCCAAAAGTAGGGTTAAGGTAATTAGACAACCAGAGCTTTAAGAGAGCCTTAAAACCACTGCAGGAAACGGGGCACCAGTTAGAAGGGTGAAAAGGGGTAAATCTTGGGAAAACCTGGTATTAAATCTAGACCAGTTGATGTAAGCTTTAACTGGGCAGAGGTGAGTATTGGTGGGGAAGATGTCGACTATATCCGGGGCACCAGGTTTGCCGGCCTTAGGTGACTTTATAGAAAAAGACAGCACTGTCATTTCTGAACTATTGAAAGTGAGGTTCCGGAGAGTAAGGTCCCTACGTAGTAAGCAGAAGTTAGGGTCGTAGTGAGTTTTAGTTTTAGATAGGAGTTTGCCGAGTCTAAAAGAGCCGTGGAACAAAACAGTGCATAGAAACCAAAAAAGTCTTTTCTTATATTTAGGCTTGTTGGAGACACTAATTTCATATTTCAAGATTCTTAGGGAGGTGGGAGTAATGGGAAGTCTAGGTGGCTTGATAGCAGGGTTGATGGCATCCAAGTTGGCTTTCCCTTTCAAAATTTGGTTAACAATGTCGGACTTAATTTCCGGGATAAGAAGGCCATTGGCCTAATGCAATTGGTGGAGACCAGATAGATAAGAGCTGATGGTGCTAGATTTAATGTTCCGGGCTAAGAGCCAAGCTGTGAAGAAGAGAATGTCTGAACGAGTTAAAGGCAAGGAAAAGATTACGGCAGTTTCTTCACTGCATTTGAAGAGCATATTTTGAGCGGTTCTGTAGGTACTCCAGGTTTGTTTGGTTAGGGAAAAGTTGGCAGCTGTGCAAAGAGGTTGCAAGAGGTTGCTTGGGACAAGGAGAGAAGAGAAAGAAAATTGGTTGAAGAGGCCATTGGGGCCGTATTTTGAATTGCCTCTGATGGGCACGGGCAAAGATCGCAAACCTGGAAATTGACAGAGTCAGGGTAAGACAGATTGAACAAACTAGTGAAGGGTAGGTGAATTATAAATCCAATATAGGACAGGACTAAGGAATGAACCATATAAGGACAGTAAAATATAGATTTGAAAGTAAAAGCAGCATAAAGACAGTTTAGATATTTAAATCCACTGAGGGACAGAAAACCGACTATGTGGAAGACAGGAAGGACCACACATGGGCAGTAAAATAAAAATAACTGCATTAATAACAGGAAAATAACTGTAAGTTAAGCCAAATATATAAATCCACTAAGGGACACAGCAAACAAATAATCTATTTTTAGTAGCAAGATATAAAATCACTAGTTGAAACTAAAAAATTAAATCCACTGAGGGACAAAAGTTGTGGCTAATAAAATAAACCACTATGGGACAGCTGACTACAAAGGCAAATAGGAGTTAAAGGAAGAAAGAAATTAAAGTAAAATAAAACATTAAATCCACCCATAAAGTTGTAACTAATAAAATAAATCCACTAAGGAACATAAGTTGTAGCTAATAAAATAAATCCACTAAGGAACATAAGTTGTAGCTAATAAAATAAATCCACCAAGGGACATAAGTTGTAGCTAATAAAATAAATCCACCAAGGGACATATGTTGTAACTAATGAAATAAATCCACCATGGGACATAAGTTGTAACTAATAAAATTAATCCACCAAGGGACATAAGTTGTAACTAATAAAATAGATCCACTAAGGGACATAAGTTGTAACTAATATAATATATCCACCATGGGACATAAGTTGTAACTAATAAAATAAATCCACCAAGGGACATAAGTTGTAACTAATGAAATAAAACCACTAAGGGACATAAGTTGTAATTAATAAATAAATCCACCAAGGGACATATGTTGTAACTAATAAAACAAATCCACTAAGGGACATAAGTTGTAACTAATAAAATAAATCCACTAATAAATCAACTTTGTATAGGTGAATAAAAGACTCATCATTATATATAAGTCCACCAAGGAAAATCAAATATTTAAATCCACTACGGGACAGAGCTCAAAATAAATCAACTAAGTCGATAACATCTCCAGTAGCTCCAGGAGGAGAATTAAGCTCCATCTATGATTCCAGGATTAACTTAAGTTGATCCTCAGTTTGTATTTTAATAATCATGTAAAATAAATGTCTGTGCAAAGTTAGTGCTTTAATCGTTTCAATCTGGCTTGTTATATATTGAGTTTCTCTTTGTCAAGTTTCCTTTATTGAGTTCTTCTCATTGAGTTTTCTCTTCAAGTTTATAATATATAAAGGAGTACAAATTACAAGGAGAAAAGGAAGATAGCGTAGAAAGACTATATTGATGGAAAGTTAGTAATAAAGGGAATAAATAGCTAAAAAGGAACCTAAAAAGATAAGTAAATATTGAGAGTAACGAATATAAAGGTATAATTAAAAGAAACTAGAATAAATAAAAAGCAAAAGGGAGATGTAAAGTAAGTAAAGGCTGGAAAAAGCAGATATAAAGACATTAATTTGAAATAAGTAAGTTTTAAAGCAACCAATACAACCTAAACTTATATAATAGATTAATGTAACAAAAATATAAATTAAAAAATAAATAGGTAATTAAGTAACAAGTACAAGGATAAAACTAAACTGAAAGGAAAAGACTAAGAAATTAAGTCGGCAATAAACAAATAAAGTAAAGGAAAAAATTATTAACAAAAAGTCGGAAAAACTAATAATCGAAAGAAAAAAGAACTAAAAAGAGAAATACTGGCCCGGTTTCTTTGTCGAGCTGTAACTTGCTTTGACTCTGACTATGATTTGAGATCATAGCTACAAGGTTAGATTTCAGATCATAGTCGAAGCTCATTCATAAGTCAACATTTTGAGGTTGGATTTAGTATGATTTCAGATATAGTCAAAGTACAAGTAATTTGTTTTATGAATCCAATCTAAGCTGCTCTGACTATGATTTAATGACAGCTGGCCTTCCTAACTGACAGCAAAATAATAAAATTGTGTGGGGCATTCATATTTTCTTGACCGCTTTAAAAAAGTCGTCTTTGATTTTTGGCCTTAAAATTGTAAAATGATTGATAAATTAGATAGATGGATAGACTAATAAATACATAGATAGATAGATAGATAGAGATAAAAGATGAAGAAAAAAAAGAGAATAACAGAAATAATCTTTAAAAGGAAATATCTGATAAAAGGTTTATTTTTGTTTTAAAAAAATCTTTTTTTAGTATTCAAAACAAAAATAAATATTCTTAAGAAAATTTTGATTTTTTATTTTAAAAAGTATTTTTTAGAAAATATTTTTTTTAATTTATTAGTTAAAAAATAAAAAAAATATCTTTTTTAAAAAATATTATTTTTAGGTTTTTTTAAAAAATCTTAGAAATATTTTAATTTTTCTGAACCTTGCATCTTGGCATATTATTTCTGGTCTCTATTTTCATGTTTTGCAATTTTAGTAGTTTTAATGTCTGCTTATTTGTACCCAAAATCATGTGAAAACCTAAAAATGGCGAATAGTTTGTTCCCATTTGCTGTGATTTAGCTGTGAAGTCGAAGCTAAATCCAACCTCAGGTGTGATTTCCATCAGCTGATATTTAGCTATGATTTAGCTCCGACTTCTGATCTATCTTGCTCTGATTTTGGACTAACGAATACAAAATCATAGCTAAGCTAGGAAGTCGCAGCTAAATCATAGCTAGAACCGGACAAAGAAACCGGGCAACTGTCCTTTCCGAGGAATAGATCCAAGAAGAGTAGTTGTTGCCGGGAAGGTTAGCTGAAGAATGAAGTCAGGTGATAAGAGCATGGCACAAGGAAAGAGAAGGGAACGCGGCATTACTGCAGTACTGTACACTGACCTGTAACATCGTCTTCACAATATTTGACCCTCTATCAATAAATAGATAAAGGCTTAAATACCAAATTAAATATGAGGAAATTGATCAACAAATTGAGATTTTAAAAATCTTAGAAAAAAGCGTTAACAAAGTAAAAATTTGAGGAAACCAATTAACAAAATGAGATTTTAAAGTGTTTGAATAAAGCAGAAAGGGATAAAAAAAAATGAGGAAATGGATCAAAAAATGTGAGGAAACCGACCAAAAAAAGAGGAAATCATTCAACTATAAATATTTGGAAACGGATACAAAATATTTGGAAATCCCTTAACAATTCTGAACTTAAAGGGATTTCCTCGAATTTCTAAAATAAACGGAAATTGCTTAAAAGTAATTTTTGAACCGTTTCCGTTTTTGAGGCGTAGATTTGTAAAGAGTGGTATTTAGCTCTCTAGAACCAGGCTTAGGTTGTGGCCAATTTCTTATTCATGTTCATAGGTAGAACTATATGTCGATCTATCTATCTACACTGCTTGCTGAGTTTCTGAATATAACGACGGAATAAAAAAAAGCCGGTTAGTGAAATTAACTTAGCTTTCTCATTGACAGTGTGAAATACAGAATTTAGAAAGCTCAGACTCTAGTAGTATTCTTACACACTACACGTGAACTGTTAATAAACATTCAAATAGGAGAAATTTAACTAACAATTAATTTTAAAATTTAGTTCTGAAGGATGATCAATGATCAAAACACTAAACACAGTACACCTGTACTGAATGAGAGTTCAAAGTGTACAAATACACAGTACACCAACACTGTACTCCTGAAAAGTCAGAATGTAGTACACAAGTACGGAAACTTGCACATGTTAAAATACAAATAAATTGTTAATTAAAATTAATTTCAAAAGATTAACATAATGGTATATAAGAAATTATTCGAGATATTTATTCTAATTTGCAGATCGAAATGTGTGGAATTTTAGCTCTGTTTGGAGCTGAAAACTGCAATGGAGATTTAAGGTACAATAAATAATATATACATCCCTAGCTCGATCCACTGCTCACACGGTTTCTGCCCCGTTGTAACTAATGAAATA